TGCTTCAAATAAGAGACGTCCCTAGAAGGTAAAGTATATTAAACCTCGAAGGGGGTCCATTAGACAACTCATTTTCAAACAACAGAAAAACAAAAGGAAAGAAATGAAGAAGAAAAGTAGTTTCGAGTTTCTGAAATTTCTGTTTCTGTCAATAAGACCTAAGATCTTCCGGTTTTCTTTTTATGGGACCATCCGAAAAATGAAGAAAATTTGAGAGGGAAGTGACGGCAGTACGAAGAAAGGAGATGTCAAACGAATTTAGTTCACAGAGCACGTATGAAAATGATTGGGATTTGCCTTAAAAGTCCTTAACCCATTGCCGTGGTTCCTCATGATTAAGGAAAATGTAGCAAAGGTCCACATGGCCACATAGTTTGTCAGTACAACAGGTAGGGCGGTAGTGGTAAGTGAAACATGGATCAGTGGTAGCTCTGTAGAATAAAAGGAAAACGGTACGGAGCAGGTGAAAGAATGTTAAAAAGCAGAATCTATGAGTAGTTACACTCGAAACTACACTTTATCAGGAAGGGTAGCTTGCTTACCGTGGAACTGTGAATAGAGACCCACGTAAGTCAATGAAGTTTGGAATGCAATTTACAAATATGGAAATTGAAACTGCAAAGTGGCTCTCCAAGAAGATTATGAGCACTTAAAATTTGACTGAGGGTAGTGTTAATCAAAAATGCGCATTCGTTGCTTCGATGTCAAGCGACGACGTGGCGCAAGGTAATGCTCTTCAGAGCTGGAAGGTGAGGGCTTGCTCCTAGTCATCACCATAGATTTTTTACAGTGTTTTCTCGTTCATATATTAAAACAAAACAGAGCCACACAAACCATGTGCAGAAATATTCCACCTGGAATAGATGCGACAAGCGAAAATGGCAGTCGCTCACTTGAATGAAAACGTCGGCGTCACAAAAGGTTTCAAAAGCTTTTGATGAAAGGAAAGAACACCGTGCGAAATCCCGACAGAGTGGCGAAGCAAGCTCACATCTTCCGGAGAGCACTACCACTGCGCCACGAGCAACTTTTGTGCGCTCATGACTTTTTTGGGGAGAGCCGTTCTGCAGTTTGACTTACATGTTCAGAAAAAGTGGATGAAGATGTATACTACATAGCTATCTGACGATATCTAAGCCACACAAATAGAAAAGAAAGTTGGAATTATAATTTTCGCCTGTTACAGATTATAAGAGTAGTAAATCAACACGATATCCAGGAGACGAAGGATTCATTTCCATAAACACTTAAAGTGAAACCTGCCAGAAGTGATGCAAGGATCAACAAGTACTAAAGGGACCTCACCAAAAGAAATAATGAAAAAGTTACCTCCAGCAACAGAGGGGTAAACGGAGTTTTGTGCATTAGGAGAAGTAAACTGTGCAAACGGATTTGTCGGATCCATTTGGGGTTGTGATGGCTGAAATGTTTTCTCATTCTAAGAAGTCAGCCCACAGTATTCTCTATAACTAATTTTCCAATTGCACTTTTTTCAGCAATTCTTCGTAATACCACATGAAACTGTTCGATGAAACAACACAACCGTATTTGACATAATTATTCCGAAGTTTTCACCTGAGCAGGAGCATTGAATAAATCAAGCAGATCATCACTCGTTTTTTTAGTAGTTTGAGCGGACATTGCCTCGGCGGCAAAAGGATTAAAGTTCGAGGACGCACCCACCGAAGAAGCTCCTTAAACATAAAAATACTTCATTCAACCGTAGTGTGCACTAGTAGTAATCAAGAGTTCATATATAAATCCCTATACACTACAAGACCCACCGGCCTCACCTTGCTGACGTTTCTGCTCCTCAAACTGCCGAAGCCTTTCCTTTTCCAATTCTATGTACCTCGTTCGTTCGGCATCGCCAACATGTGGCTGAGTTTGGAATCCTCCACTCATAGAAAAGTTTGCAACTTGAGACTGAGCAGACGAATACTACAAATATACTTTTTTATTTCAAATACTAAACGGATTCTATAACTAGAGATGAAGATTCACAGCCTTAACTTACTTGGCCGGGAAGACCGGAGGGTGGAACTCGACCACCTTCCAAGTGTATGAGATGAGCTTCCAGAGCCTCTAATAAGCTTGCTGGAGCTCTGGTCAAGTCTGGAATCTCGCCTCGATCGATGCCAACAGACTCAGCCACACGCAAAAACTCGGACACTTTATCCAAACGAGTCTGAAAACATATTTCTAAAACTGTTTTCTAAGGTTGCACCTCGGCTTCAAGCTGAATGTTTCATTCTCTTCTAGCGTTAACTAACCAAAAATCCCTTATACGTGTCCAAAGCGTCACGGCACTGCTTTTTATTCATATCAAAGTATTTTTCCAACAAATTAATGATCCCATCGTTGTAGCACGCAAAAAGACGGATGAGGTCACGGAATAGAAGAATGAAGGAACAGTTAATAACGCCATTGTTCAGTTCACTGGCAGACACCTGAACGGCTTGTTCATGGAAGGAGCTTCGAGAATTGGCTTCGGAAACTAGGTAAAAAACTGACCTGGAACTCCAAAAGTGCATCAATTTGATTTTGGAGAATTGGCAATGTCTTCAGTAGCTGGAATGAAGATAATTTAAAAATGGTATTTTTCACAAGAACTTAAATTAAAAAGAAAATGTAAATTCAAAAAAATATGTGTAATGGTAGGCAGTTATAAAACGAGCAGATGATGACGAAGCAGGGATACCACCAAATCGCAGTTCGTCGAACCTCTGCTTGATGTAATGAGAGAATCAGTTTCCTAGAGCCCGTAAGTTATTATGATTGATGCTCAATCACGTCACGGAGAGTCCAAAGCTTTTATCATACTTGGCTCTAAATACTGTGTGCAAAAAACCCTCAAGATGATCTTTACAACTCTAAAATAAACGCTAGGCACAACCCAGAATTGATCAACACTGCTATTTTACTAGACTCTTGATTGACGCCTAAACGCGTTAAGCTACGACACTTTCGGGAAGAGTTTTGAAGACGACAAAAAATTTTCAAAGAGGGTTAAATAAGGATATGAAATAGATGTTCCCGGCTCGAACTTATCCCTGAAAAATTGGAGTGTTATGAAGCTCATTGCAAACTGGGCTGACGCGTTTGAAAGGCAGCTTACATAAATCAAAGGCCTGAAAGGCCTTGCAAAGATGTTAGTTTGAATACAATTATACTGAGAAGATTCGATATTTTTCAAAGAACAACGGCTAAAAGCTTTTGAGTCGATCATTGCAGGTATTTTGCTCTGCAAATTAGGCTGCCATATTCTCATAGGAATGCAAAAATTTAGAAGTGGCCCTTCGATAGGTTTTGCTTAGGTGACTTAATTTACCTTGGTCGTGAGATTGAATTGCCGTTTCATGCCTCAAGCAAAGGAAAGAAAACAGGAATTAGAGCAACACGTACAGATCGATTACAGCGTTTACTGTTATTTGGAGTAATAACCTGCGGTAACCCAGTAAATTTAAAAAGATTAAGCTGCGTCACAGAAAAAATGTTTTCTCTAGAACCAGTCACACAATTGCGCTTGGTCGAAGATATTCGGTAGCCTTGTTGATAAAAGTGTAACTCATAGAATTGGATCAAAACCAACCCTATCACGTCTGCTCGTGCGAAAAAGTCCTGCTGAGAAATAATAAGAAGTTGGAAAGTAATGCTTCAGGCCCATCATGTGGCTTATCAGCCAAAGCTGCTAAATACCCTTGCACTCCACCTTAATTGAAGGCAGAGGATAAGAATCTTAGGCATTGATCAGCTCGACAGTTGGATGCACCCCCTCATCTAACTTTTATTCAGAATCGTGGTGACGTTTTCCAAATGTTTGAGTGACCTATACAATGACTTGGATCTTGGTTGCTTGCCCTATCAGCCTCGGACAATGCATGGGTGTTAGCGTTGCTACAACACCTCGTCACTCCACTAAGATCAATAAAAGTAAAACTAGAAGTGACTTGCACAGGCACTTCAACTCGACAACTAAGCTTTCCTTAATGACTTTTCCTTTTTGTGTAAACCACTAAAGGACTCGAAAGCAGGAATGCAACGTTTTGCTGCTATGACAATTTGCTAGAAGTGAATCATACCTTGTCAGTGTGCATGGTGCGCAATAGACCATCTTCCCTTCCTCGCTTAACTTTGCAGAAATCGAACGCACAAACTCGATATGTCGCTATTTTCTCTCCGATATACTTTCCATATCGACGCACATGTTGAGACATATCGTAACCTGGAACATAAACTGTATGAGGCAATAAGTTTTTAACAAAACCTACTCTCAGTGGTTCAAGTCAACGAGTATTGCCATTAATTTAGTTCCAAACTAATTATCAACTCATTTTCGTGAGCATCTTTAAAATTTCGCAATAGTTTACTGTAGGATATGAATAGCTGAAATACTGAAATAATATACTATTGCGAAAATGTCAGTCCCAGCTCCAGACCAACCCTAACAAAACGTTGGAAGCACCTACTTTAGATATGCCTTATAGCGATTAGTGTGCACCAACACAAAAAAGGACCAAAGAGAGAAACATTTCAGGGCGAGCTCTTGAAACCCTAACAATAAGAAAAAGCACCGCGCACGAACACCCCACAGCAATACTCATTTGGGATAAGTTGCAATGTACTAGAAAGAAAGATACCTGAAGTACTATTCTTATCAAGGAAGTTTCCCAAGTTAAAAGTAGTGTTGCATGATGCCAAGTACTGAGAAAATCTCTGAAATGAGTGTTCTGAAATTTTATGAACAAACCATGCTGCTTCGAAAATTTCAGTCTGTGATTACCTCATTGCCGTAACACATGATATTGTGAATCGTGATAAGGGCTTTATACACTACAGTCCAATTGGGATGTTGCGTTCTTTCTATCAATAAGTTTGCCATTGAAGGAATCGATACATTCGGCTCGTTTGTACAATGTAACAGATCTGAAAAAAAAGTTTCGAAGCAGTGGAAAGTTGAATCAGCCACATTTTATTGCTGAACATCAGCTGAGGCATAAACGTTGGTTGAAGAGGAGATTGAAACGTTCGTCCACTTTGCGTCAAATTGTTACATGCCCCTTGTTATCATCTATTTACTTTTAGAAATCGTGTAGAATCGCTTAACCAAGCCTGACTCACACCTTAAATTGATGAAGTCCCTCAAAGCCCGTTTTAGTAAAATCTTCAATGAAGCTCTGGTGAATTATATTTCATAATTATATTTGCTTTGTGTGTACCTTGGTGTGATTCTGTTTCTGTTGCCGTTTGGCAACCATGCTTGACATGAAATAAACAAATAAATAAATAAAAAGCACAGGTGGAGAAATGAGTATGAACATTTTTCAAATAATTTCAATCGTTATGTATCAAGCGACATCGACCAACATTGTTGTGCGTGCTCTTGAAAGGGATTTCACAGCTTCCCTCACCTCAAACGTCAACCATTCAAACCAAATGACAGCGACTTTGCTGCAAGGAAATTCGAAACGAAGCGACAAATGACCATGTATGAGCGAAGAAAAATTTAAATTTCACTGTGTTATTGACTGATGAACAAGTTCAGTGATCTGCGAGGAACACACACAGTGACGGGCACAACCAAGATCAGTATCTCAGAGTAGGGGGATAAGTGCGCTGCAGAATCAGTGCAGGCCTCAAGGAAATGGGTAATATGTATAAGTGAATGACAATAAGTGACAATATGGTGCTGAAACGAATTTGAATACTTACAGTCAAGGTGTTTTTTCTTAGGAGCCATCAACTCCTCAGTCGTCGCCTTACATATAGTTTTTCCTAGTTGGCTTCCAGCCAGCGAATGCTTGGCAGCAGTTAACCTTAAATGAAAAGACGTCAGCGCTACACTTTCAAGTTGTACATGAAAGTGTTGCAGCAGTAATACCTATCAGAAATGGTTTGACCACCAGTAGTGAATGGCATCGGTTGATGCAAAGCTTTTTCGATAGTTTGCATGTTTGACGTTCGATACTGAAATATGGAGTTGAATGAAAAAATGAAACGACAGCGATCACAGACTCTGAAGAAGAAGTTTCGCAATGTTCGCAAGATAGGACGTTATAGCTGGAGTAATGTGAGGATGAGGCTTGTTTAGGAATTGGAGCGGTTCGCCTAAAAGAAACAAAAGGATGCCTGAGAAGGCATATCGATGGGGGGAAGGGGGTGGGTGCGATTTATCGACAAAGGCGGATGCTGGCCCGACTCGGCACGCAAGCGCGAGAATCGATGTCCAGGAGGCGGCTTGCACCTAGCAGTTCGGCTCTTTTTATTACGCGAAAGGAAGCATTATTGCAATTCATTTCAAACTTAGCGGAATTCTAGACAAACACTTAAAAATAGATAATTACAAATAGCAACAAAAGTATCTTTATGTGTTCAAGGCGACAATGATAAGCTGTAAAAACAAAGGGATGATCCTGCCTTATCGCTTTCACACGCTTGATTAACACGTGTTACTTCATTAATCTATTCAAACCAATCTTGGCCATTGCGAACTTCAATCCATGAAAAATTGAACAACTCCGTAGACTACACTGCATTTCGCGCGGAACCCACTTATACTCGATTGTGTCTTCACATTTGTGACTTCACTTATAAAGGTGACATCAACTGATTTCTGGTTTGGCCTGTAGCGGGAAGAGCAAGGACACGACTGCCAAAAACAAGGGAATCAACAGCTGAACTGAAAGGCGCTTGTAAAAAGGAATCACGGAAAACACTTCCACGAAAACCATTTCAGGAAAACGTTCTCGAGGGCACGTCTTGGCAATGGAGCACAAATTCATTTTAGAGCACGACTATGCAGAGTGCATAAGCTAAGCTTCCTGTCAATAGAGCAGAGATAGGACGACACAAGACGGATATCAAAGCCCCGTAAATGTGTTATACAATAATCCGTTGACACACTCAGAGGCCTCCAAATTGCCGTCACATATACGAAGCAAAAAAGGTACTTTGGGTACCNCACGTCTTGGCAATGGAGCACAAATTCATTTTAGAGCACGACTATGCAGAGTGCATAAGCTAAGCTTCCTGTCAATAGAGCAGAGATAGGACGACACAAGAAGGCCCGTAAATGTGTTATACAATAATCCGTTGACACACTCAGAGGCCTCCAAATTGCCGTCACATATACGAAGCAAAAAAGGTACTTTGGGTACCTTGGGAGAGGCTTACTAGTATCTTGTGGGACATTTTGGGTACTGTTGTATGTATCAGACATTCACGGGACCTTAAATCTAACTTGCGGGACGACTTGGTTTAGTATTGGTTAGGAACAGCAGGGCTGTTGTAAACCAGAACCAAACCGTCGACAGAGAAGCGATCTCAGCGTGTCGTGCCCATTAGCGAGGGAAGTGCATCTTCACACTACTGACTCAGTACTCTGACCAAATTGGGTAACTAAAAGCCTTAACCTTGCTAAATTTCCAATTCCAACAAGCCATTAGCTAGGAATCTACAGAAGAGCGTAGAAGACTGAATTCTTTCGCTTTTGGCTGCTTTCATAGTCCACGATTTGGCGCGCGATCGGTCACTCGCCAAATCGTGGACTATGAAAGCAGCCTTTCACCAACTTCCACCTCGATCAAAAAGGCAAACATCAAAAGTGATGAGTGGTGCTATGTGGCTCTCTACTTCAGCAGTGCTTTCATGTGTGACCCTTGCAATAATCATTCGCAATGGAGGTGCAGTGACAATAAGGGAAACCGAGCTTTTCCGTCTTCGCGTCTTCTCTGTAGCACTTTCAAGAGTTTCCTACAGCGAAGACGGAAGAGAAGAGGAAGGAAACAACAGTACGCGACGAAAATTGCAGAAAGTTCAATTATCCGTAGTGCTGAAGTAACTGGCAAACGGCAAACGCAGCAAGGCACTCAACTCTGTTGATCATGCCTGACTGCTGACAGCCATCTATGAGATCCACGATTTTCGTCTATGCCTTGTACATAGGCACTGTACTCACCTTTGATTTCGTGCAGAAAAAATGTTACTGATGTGACCATGAAAGATGTTCGAAAATATGACCAAAGAGAGAAATGTCTTCGAATGCGAGGCAAGAGTAAGCAGAGATAGGCGACCAAGAGAGAATGTCAGCGAGTGACAAGAATCGTTGCAGCCGTGTACTGACCTTTTTTGAGATACACAACATTTTTTTTATTATTCCTGCGTGCCACTTCACACATCTTAACAACAATCATCTTGAATGGCCAAAAGAACTCACCATTAGTGACTACCAAAGTTCAAGGATAACTTGCTACCAAGGAGACTCCTTCATCCAGTACGCGCATCACTCGGCAATGGTACCTAACCAGAGAGATGTGGACATCGGCACTCGAGTACACCAAGAGACCTCGTGGAGAAGGTAAGCCAAGTTGCCGGACTACACACTCATGAATTCTCAAGAGGAAAGGAACACCTTTGAGGGAATGTATGTATGTCGATTAATGGTCGGTTAAATGCTCAACGAAAAAGTAAAACTTCAAGGAAAGCAAATGATGTATAGAACACCACACCAAGTCCTTTTTACAACTATTACTTATGAAGTGAAACACCGAGAGCTCTGTTATGAAGTCCCATATCCGGAATGTATAAGTCTGTTAGTAGTGCCAAGTCTCATTGTTGTTGCAGTGCTGAAATTGAAAAGATGAAACTCAACTGCTGCGATATCTAAATTGACCCACGTATCAGATTTCTGAGCTAATGACATCAGTAACATCAGCAAATTCTTCTTCGGCATCTCATTGATCATCGAGCTCGAGCGGAGGTTTTCCGAAACTCCTTGCAGTGCGTTAAAAGTAGGAGTGGAAGTAAGCGAGTGGAGTTCCTAGTGGATTCCTTGATGATATACCCAGAACCCCCAGATCTTTCCTCGCAGGGTTTCAAAATCCAATAATTGCTACGTTTCAATATAGTTTCATGTCTGAGTATACAGCAAGGTGAAGCCTCACCTTATTCAAGCTTGTCAGTTCTGGAAAACTGGTAAGAGTTCGGTGCACTTTTCCAGTTTAGTAACCTTTTCCTAAAGATAGGATTGCATACCTGAGAGCAATAGTTTAGATGTGGTATTACATAGGCATATATGTGTAGGCGTAGAAGCATTAGGGTGTCCGGAAAGTTGAGAAAATTCCACCTCTCAATTTCGAAAGCATGTTGCTCACGAAGAGCTAAGGAAGAACTATAAATCTTTTAGCAGGGAAAAGGACATTGTTGTTAGATCAATACTGTAACTGATCGATATTTGACGTGGTTGTTCGAAGTAAGTACTCGTCGACCGACAATGTAATAACTACCGGAGCCTTCTGCTTCTCCATTACGAAACTAATCGCTTCGACACTCAGGCTTGGAATGAGATATGATGACTGATTGGCACCAGTGACCCCCTCTTGTCACCCACCACAAATGCACGACCGCTTCCCCTGAGAAGAGATTTGCTTCGACGAAATTTGTCGAAGACGACGTCCTCTGTTATCAAACAGCGACAGTGTTCTAGCCTCAGGTCAGAGCAATCCTCCTCAAAATCTCAGGAAATGGAAGAGACGACTCTCCTCCATAATCCATCATTCATGACGTTCTACGCAAAAGTCGATATCAAAGCAGGATTCTTCGCAAATATCGCCCACTCCATGGCTGAGCAGGAGCTCGAGTGCGAGTCTGTGTGTGTCAGGAGTTCTCGACTGTAAGCGAACGACCACATCGACTGACTTCATTATTGCTAAGGATAAAAAGTAGATGTAATATGAAAATCCACGCAGGAAATCGCAATGCCTACTAATGGACGTGAAGCCACAGCCCGCTAAAAGCGAAGCGTTCACGCCAAAAAAGACACGACCTCATTCTTCAAGACGGTGGATCGACGCGGTCTGCCTCTCTCCTCCCCCCAAGCCATTTCGAAGGGCTGAAAAGAAAGAAAAACAAGACCAAAAACCATTTGCACGAGCTCCTAGTTTTTGGTTTTTGGTCTTGTTTTTCTTTGTTTTCATCCGTTCAAAGGGGCTTGGGCGCGACGCGACCGCGTTGACCGACCGTCTGCCTCCCTCCTCCCTTCTAGCACTACCTCTGCTGGCACGCCGGCACGCCGGCGAACTATGAAAGCAGCCACTGAGAGATCCAACCAGAATTACTGCGGTAAATGCAGAGTATTCCATTTCCGCAGTATTTCCGACTGAGAGAGATGGAGAGCACCCATTTCACACCGATTACGAGGAAATTTTTGATTGTGATGGAAAATGCTCGACCACCTCGCGCGAAAACGTCGATGGAATAGTTGGAAGGACTTGGTATACTGCATTTAGCTGACTACTCCACTCCCCACATATTCACCTGGCCCATATTACTAGCATAATTTCAGAAGCTCGCAGACCGCTCTGAAAGGAAAATTCATCACCTGTTGGGAAGTCAAGTAGGTAGTAGACGAACCAATTGCGTCACGCCTCTCTTCATATTGGAGGAGTAGCATAAATACCCTATCCACTTGATGTATAGACATTGTTGCTAAAGAGGGTCACTATTTTGATCACACGTCTAAGTTTACTGCTGTAGTTATTTTATATTGAAAAAACGAGCTGAGCCTTCTCAAAAATTTTCGGACACCCTAAGATCTTGGGCTCTTTGACGTGGATGTTACGGAAGATCATTAAGAGTGCTGCAGAAGCTTTTTTTTCGCCCAAATTCCGATCTGGGCTTGAACTCGAGGTCAAATGTATCAACACCTTAAATCTTTTACACTCTTGCAACTATTTGAGGTTTTTTCATTTATTTATACAAGAATGCAAAGTGTCCCCAAAATGTGCGTCTATTTCCTGTGCGCATCTTATTTTAAGTCCCATGCGGATGCCCATTCCACCAGTCCGCAAGAGATAGCCGGCGTGCGGTTTGTATAATACTTACTTTTTATTGGGCCATCGTATTCTGCGTATAACTTTAAGTCTCTGCATACATATGAACTTTGACGAGTGACC